CAAAGTCATTAACTTGTGAATGATGTTGTTGGGGATAATGGGAGGAGTGCATAAACAAAGAGAATACGGATAAGTCATAGAAGTAAAAGGAAGAAATAAAATCTGTAACTCAAATGCATACATAGCCGTAGTTAATAATGAAGTATGTGATAGGGGATCATGTTGGGGATGCCTAAAATAGAATGTGACCGGAGCAATCGTGGCCGTAGCCATGGTAAAAATAATGACCGGAGTCAATGTGGCCGTAGCCATAGTAAGAGATGATGATCGAAGTCATGGTGGCCAGAGCCGTAATAAAAAATGATGACCGAAGTCACAATGTAACCAGAGCCGTGATAAAAAATGATGACCGGAGTCATAATGGCCGGAGCCGAAGTGAAACATGTGACAGTGGTCACTGTGGCCGAGGCCGATGTGAAATGTGATGCAGAGTTACTGTGGCCAAAGCCGAAGTGAAACACTTGCAAAAATTGAGAATGTGTAAAAGTGAGTAAGAGTGTTGAATTGGGCTTAAGTGAGCCCGTCTAAGAAGTCTGACAAAGGGGCAATACATGGTGTGACAGCTGTTCTTTGAATGACGTGTGCAATAAATGCGGTTGTAAAAAGAGAACTGCAACAGTCAAATGGGTAGATTTGAAAAATGAACCGTCAAGTTCGAAACGATGCCGTTTGGGGCTGACCATCGAATTCGAAACGGTGTGACTAAGGGTCGTAAGATTAAACGAATCCAAACCGTTGAGATCTAATTTTGCCCAGAGGTATAAATAGTCATTTTTCTATAAAAAGAAGTTTACTTTCTGCATTTTCTGTGAAATTTCTGTAAAAAGACTTTACTGTGTGCTTCTTGCACGTGAATTGCTACAACATTCAGGGGTTTCTACATCAAGTTTTCGAAACCGAAATTAGGTAATGTATATGAACCTCTGATTTTGTGTTAATTGAAGTGTCACTCTCCTTTCTCCCTTTTTGTGGTTGACTTAGAGTCCTCTGAGGGAAGTTAGGGTTGGAAGTGAGAATGACTTTAAATGTGCATTAAAGGGGTTTTTGTTGTTTTTTG